AAAGGCTTTTAAATTTAAACTTATTTTTTTTTCTGTAATTTTAATACTAATTTGTGCAGTAAAATTTTCAAAAATTTAGTTTTTTCTCAATTGTTTAGAATAAATAAAATTTGTAATAGTGTTGAAAGTTTTCAAGAGGCAACAAGTAATTTTTTTAAAAAATTTAGAAAATAATGGTTTTCCTTTTAATTTTTGTAATATTGATTTTAAAATTAAGAAAATGATTGAGAATTATTAGTTTCGTTTTCTCATTTAATAGGGCAAGATTCAAGTCTTGATCGAGTTGCCCCGGTCAAGCATTTCTGTTAATGATGTCACTATTTTCTAGCTCTTTCTTTTTTTTTTATGTCTCTTTTTAATCGAAAATTAGGGGTCGCTGTTTTTTATGTTTATTACTGTTTAGTTGTGTCTCACCGTCAGTAGTGTAATTTGGCGATTAGATTTTTGTTTCAAGTAAGCTTTTGTGTGTACTATTCTTATGTATTTGCCTTGTTTTTATACTTCCGTATTTGCTTTATGTATCTTATATTTTGTATTGTATTCTCTTCCAGGACTTTGGCAATGCCTTTGGGGTACACACAGAGCAATTTCAGACATTTATCATGCCCTCACGATAGAAAAGGTTCTGCTTTTATGACTTCCGGAGCTGGTACCCCCTGAAGACGTCAGCTTCGGTAGCCATATATATTCATTTTTTAGTATTTCATTGCTTCTTTTGTTTTAATTCCTTTTCGATTCTTAGCTGTTAGCGCGTTTTTCCACTGGAAGTAATATTTTTAATCGCTTTAAATATTTTGAATTCTTTTCTTAATATTCCAAAAAAAAACTCCGTCGCCAATATCCTTGAACTGTGAAACAAAAGAAAAGGCTTTCTTCTCTTATATTCACTTCATCTTTCATTTTACCCCTTGCGTCACTATATGGTTATCGGCATTTTTCGATATTCACTGAAGGTTATTTTTAATCAATAAGTGACAGGACTTTTCGGTATTTATCGTGTGTAATTAATTATTTGTTTTGACAGGCATGTTCAGCAGAAGATTAAGCTCTGCAACTGAGCCTGACAGTTAAAGATTTTAAAATTATGCAGGCTAAAATTCCATCAGATCCTGACAAATCTGATTGCAAAATACGCAATTACGAAAACAAAAACTTTAAAACTACAAATGATAATAAAGTTTTTAAATTTATTTCGGTATAAATGCGCCTTTTTTAGGATACTTATGCATGATTTGCTTTTTCTACAAAAAGTAAATAAGTATTTTTTTTTTATTTAAGCTCCTCATTTTATTTGTTTTTAGAGGTATGTTCAGTAGAAGATTAAGCTCGAGAACGGAGATTGACAGTTGAAGAAATTAAAATTATTTGGGTCGAAATTCCGTCAGATCCTGACAAATCTGAATGCAAAATATACAATTGTGAATACAAAAATTTCAAAACTACAAATGATAATAAAGCTTTTTTAAATTTATTTCGTTATAAATGTGGCTTTATTAAGATACTTATGCATGATTTGCTTTTTCTACAAAAAGTACAGTGTTATTATTTTTTTATATTTAAGCTTCTCATTTTATTTGTTTTTACAGGTATGTTCAGTAGAAGATTAAGCTCGAGAACGGAGCTTAACAGTTGAAGACATTAAAATCATTTGGGTTGAAATTCCGTCAGATCCTGACAAATCTGAATGCAAAATATACAATTACGAATACAAAAACTTCGAAACTACAAATGATAAGAAGGTTTTTTCAATTTCTTTCGTTATAAATGTTACTTTTATTTTAATTCTAATTGATCTTTGAATCGTTATAAAATTGAGAAGTACATGAATGCCACATGTTTAATCACAAAAATAAACTACCTTACAAAGAAAAAATGCAATTTTCAAATTAGAGTCTCAGGATCCATGCATTTATTGAACCCTTTAAAAAGAAATTTGCGAAAGTCACGAATACATGCAGGAAAGTCCGAAATGGTTTCACCAACACTTCCAATTCGCTATAATGGAAAATATTCAACAATTTATACCTTTTTATACCCATAAATACACTTAGGACAACCTATGTAATAATAGATAGTTCTGTCACTATTTCTTTATTCCCATTGAATTCATGTTTTACGTTTATTGAGTGGTAAAGCCGAAAGTAATAGCAGTTTGACTATTTCCTCCACGTTTTTATCATTCATGGACTCTCTCTCACAGAAATAATGTTAGTTTTTGAAACTCAAAAATGCTAAACACCTTTTTCTAGTCGTTTCCTGATAACAGAAAAAAAAAATGAAATTCGGTCGTTATTTTGAAATGTGAGGTTCAGTTCACATGTTCTAACGGCTCTTAAAATAATCGATGTGTATTTAGAAGAGCAAATGGGATTGCATGTATCGGTCGTTATAATTGTAGGTTTGTAGTATTAAGGAGGGGAGCGCCGTACTAAAGAGCGTAGACTATATATATAATATTAAAATACTTTAAATACCTAGCTCCTAATATCTTAATGTATACATATAGCTTTAAAGTTTATTGGTAACGATAGTTTTAAAAAGAGTGATGTTGCAAATTTTTTCAAAGTGGTAGGTTTTATTATCATAGGAATGTAAATTTTTCCAATTAGGGCACGTGCATGATCGGAAGAATGAACCGATATAATCTAATTTATAATTAATTTATTTTATAACCACGTTAAACAGCCAATTCAATTCTGAGTCTACGACTATCATTGTTGAACTTCTTAGCCTTCTGACTTTGGAACTAATCCACATTTGCGTTACATGGAGAGGAAAACCATGAATACCTTGCCAGAAAGGGATTCTGATTTGTCTACCACTGAAGATATTTTACATCAGCACTGTGGTTGGTGTGATCCGGGAGCAGAATTCGTATCAACCAACCGCAGCTGGAACTCGAACATGGGTCACCTCAGAAGGAGACGAGTGCTCTATCCCCTGAACCACCGCTGATTGATTTTATTTAATGGGTCTTTTTACGGCAGTTTAGCTTCCTCAATTCGTAATTTTTCCACAGTAATATGACTTCAAAATATTTGATTTTTTTTTCGGCCCAAATATGTATACAGTTTTGTTTTTCTCACACTATATTTTTCTTTTCTAAATTATGCATTATCTCTAATATTATTAAAAAAACTATCTTTTTTAATCCCCAGTGATCTCTCTCTTATACAGAGAGATAGAGAAAGAGAGTGAAAAAGAGATCTTGAGTTACTGAGCTATAATCATTGAGTTAATTGTGCATTAAAATTAATACATTTACATAAAAATATTTTAGTTATTTATATTGATAATTTTTCATGAACAAAACCAATTCGACTAAAATCCGGGGCTAAAGATTTTTTAACTAACCAATAATCTGTTCAAATATTCATTTAACTAATTAATATGAAATATTATTCAAAAAATTTAATAAATTTTGATAAAAATCATCGTGCTAAAATGTTATATATACACTGAGTGGCCAAATTATTATGACCACCTCAGAGTTTTATGCAAATGAGTTATTGCGTCACAGCGTTGCCGCTAGAGGGCAAGATAACCATAACACGGGAATGCTGGACAAGTGAGTCATACTGTGTTGCTTGCTCAGATATGGGAAAGAAAAGTGATTTAACTGAATTTTAACGTGGAATGATTGTGGGTGCGAGATGTGTCGGAACGAGCATCAGCAAAACGGCTGCACTTGTGAAGTGGTCTAGAGCAGCAGTTGTTAATGTGTACAAAGAATGGACAATCAAGCAAAAAACCGGATCTCACTGTTTTATTAATGG